GCTCCTTTTCCGCGGGGGGTGCGGACCCCACTCGTGAGCACCGCTGGGTGCAGATGTCTCAGTGCCTTGGCTCCTCTCCGAGCATCGGAAAGCCTGCTGGGACGTGCCTAGAGCAAAGGGTGGCTTCTGCCCACTAAGCGGCCCTATGCCCTCTTCCTTGCCGCCTTAACTGTATTTGGTTCCTGCCCCTAGCAGGAAAGGTGAGTGTTTCAGCTAGGGGAGCAGTTCTTCCCTAATCACCCAGCTGCTGCTTGTTGGATGTTTCAGGAGTATGTGTCACTATAATGTCTGGGAGCTGCCTTATCCCCTCTCCTGCAGGTCTGCCTTGCTGTTCCTCCCAACACTGGTGTCCAGGAGAGAGTGTGGCTGGAGCAGGCTGCCATGCCCGGGGTGAGCTGCCCTGACCTGCTTGTTAAAGCTCTTCCAGGGTTAATTCCACTTGTTGATGTGCCAGGCATGTTACCATCTGGCCTGGCGCACTTGGTGCACCTTCTGTTGATGTGTAGTAATGAGAGAACTGGATATAGTCAACTAAGAGAGGAGACCGAACAGCTGGATTTGGGGGAATGGTTGCTATACAGATTCCTTTTGACTTTGCACAAGCACACTTGCAAGATCAAGGAATGAAGATGGTACAATGTATTTAGTGTTTTGGTTTTGTTGCCTTTTTTAAAAGGAAGCTATTGTAAATCTTACTCTTGCAGTAGTAAAATTCTAGTGTTTAAATGTGAGTCAGAAATTTAGAGTGGAGAAAGAAGACAAATGCAATTGTGCAGTTGGTTTGGGCTTTGCCTTCTGGGTGGCTCATGACACTTTAGTTTCACATGGAAATGGTAAACAAAAGCTATGCTGATAAAGAACTGAAAAGCATGCATTTCTATTCTATATCTCTACAGATATCTTCTTGCTTGTACGCTTCCTGCTTAGCAGTGAAGCTTGTCTCCTAAGGATTGAAGTTTGAGTTAGGAGTGTGGTGTGGGCTAAAAAGCTGAACCACTAAATAAACTGGCGTTCTGGCACGGTAATGTCTTGTAGGCTTTTTTCCTTGGGTAGGAGGAACTGGCGTTGTACTTTGTACACTTCTGGCTTGTTGCAATGCACTTCTTGTTTATGGAGTAGCATATGCTTTGGTTTAGTTTTCAATACAAATGTTCAGGTTCAAGACTTTTCTGGCCTTTATTGCCTTTGGGAAAGCATGTTATATAGGGCAGTATTTCTCAGCCTTACTAACCACTTAACCTTTTAAAAACACACCCAAGGGCTGCCTCATCTTTTTGTAAAAAAATAATCTGCCGATCATCTTGTGCAGAACTGGTCTGGTGGTTTTTATTTACCACCAAATAAAATATAGGGTGAGCCTTAAATGGCGTGTTTTACCTTCCTTTGCTTATATATTTGAAGGCCTGGGCTATAGCTTTTGGTTTCTTCCTGTGAACTATCTCTTGCTGTCTCATGCGCTGGTCAGATTAAGAAACCTTGACGTAGGGTGAATGGAAGAGCTTTGACTTGTCCGTCAGCCTGTGTTGGGACAGGTGACAAGGACCGCTTTTGAGAGCACTTGCTGTAGCAATATTTCAGATGCTGACTTAAGCAGGCCGTAATTCTGGAATGGGTGTTGCGCTCCTGTCTGTCTGTGCTGCTAAGAGCAGTGCCTCACCTGCTTTTTTTTGACTATTATTTAGCTCCTCATTTACTTAGAGAGGTTGCCAACCAGTCCTGAAACTTTTATTAGAAATGCCCATCTGTTACTAAAACCACTTAAGTTTCACATACTGTTTCTGCTTTCCAAGCTGTCTCATTAGCACTGAATAACACTTCAGTATCAGAGTTCCCTTGAACTTTACAGATAGCTTGTCCCCCACCCAGATATTTCTGTTTGCATTAATGCTTTAGTCAGCCATGAATCAATTTTCCATATTCCTAGTAATTATTGCTCATTTGCTCTTTACAGACTGATGCAGCTGCATTAAGGATGTGCTGCAGGTGTTTGGCAAACTGGGATTTTGGCTAGCCTTCCGGTCTGGCTGAGGGCTGGTTTCCTTCAGGGGGTGTTTCTGTGGCCAGTACTGTCATTAGGGGTGAGTCCGGGCACTAAGAATTACCTTGTTGTTACCTGAACGGACTTTGAAGTTGCTCTTGCGTTCTTGTTGAATTGGTGTTCGCTCAACAGCCTTCGGGGCAGGAATTCATACCTAGCACAGTTCTTGATCTCTGTGGGGTGACTCGAGAGGTGCAAAGTAGCTGCAGATCCTTTGCTAGCAGATGCTTGGAGGTGCCATGTGACAGCACATCATTCTCTGTGGTTTAACCCCATTCTGAGGCTCCCATGTGAGGTTTGCTTCTGTATGAGCTCCAGAAGCCCCAGTCCTTGTTTTCTGGGGAAAAGATTGGGGAGAAAGCACGTGGGCTGGCATGTACTGCTTCCAGGGCAGAGGCTGGACATGACTGTCCTCACCTGGCTGCCAGCTACTTGCTCCAAGTCCCCTGGCAAGTGTGAAAGGGAGACCGAGTGCCGCAGGCAGAGCTACAAATCGCTTGTGCAGGCGACTGCAAGGAAGCTTCTGCTAGGGCAGCAGGGAAAGCACCTGCTCGTTGTCAGGCTGGGGCTGGTGGGGCTTCTCTAGAAGAGCAGGCAGCTGCCACTGAAGTTAGTACAAGCTAACAGCAATTCCTCAGCTGCTGTAGTATTCCCTTCCCTGTGCCCCGTGGTAGCTGCGAGAGGGAGATGCAGAAAAGAGTTTGCCTTCTTCCCTCCCCAGCTGTGCAGGGATGGTGATGGTGTACAGGTCTGGAACGGAGCACATAGCAAGAGAAGAAAGCCCCAAATGCCCAGGGAGCATTTCTGTGACGCTGGGGGAAGCAAAAAGAGGTGGGGAGAGCAGACTGACAGGAGCCTGGGATGGAGGTAAAGGAAGATGAAGCAAAGGCCAAACCCAAGGATTATGCAGAGGCCACGTGTGGGGGTGTTCTAACCTGTGTTACGCGCTCAAGGCGGGTGCATCAGTGTTATGGGATTGAGAACAGCAGCTATTGCGGAGGGCCAACTGAACACCTTCCTCGTTGCTGACTCAGCAGCCGGAACCACTTGTGTCGCGTCTGTCCCGGCGGCTCCGTTGCATCTCTTCCCACTCGGCAAACCCAGCCCTGCCCATCACTCCCATGCCAGGCTCTCACACCCTTGCTGGGTGGAGTGAACCCATCGCTGCCGCTCAGCTCAGTGATTCACAGATGCCAGCAAGCACATGGCACGTGTTTGGGACTGGATGAATTTATGTTTCATCTTAAACAACTGTTCTAATTATTACAGGCTGAAGATGTAGATAAATATTGGGGTGGGGGGAAGTGTTTTAAGCCACCACCCATGTTTGACACATGCTACAGCTCAGCTGCTGTGACAGCAGGCATTGCAGTCCAAAACAAGTGAGTCTCTGGCTGCGGACAGGGCTGAAGGAAACAGGTGCTGGGTGGCAGGCATTCACAGAGCGAGAGGGAACTTCTGGGGTGAGGAACATCCCCTGCTAAGTGGTCTGGTACAGCCCACTTCCCTGTGTCTTAAAGTGTGTCAGCGCTGCTTGGTGGCAGCAGCACTGGGGCTTTCGTCTTGGTCTCTGGGGAGACTTGACTCTTGATGCTGTCTTCTGTACTCCTTTGCCTGTGAGCGGATATTTGGAGATCTCCAAAGGACGACTCCCATCTACTCCTCAATATTGTGGGAGCATCTGCAGTGCTTCACCCTGGGTTATTTTCAGGCTGATGTTTTGCTGGGTTGCTTCTGGCTTCAGTTGGTCGGTAGACATAGTGAAGACAGGCCTGGCGCAAATGATGCGTGCTGTTTCAGTTGAGGGCTGGCTGGGTGCTTCGGTGTTACGTCTTACAGGGACATCATTCCCTTGGAGTGACATGTTTGTCTAGTGTGGATACAGAGAGCAGCTAAATATTATCCACAAGTCTTTTTTTGTTGGGTCTAAAAGTGGCCTATCTGTAAGCTGCCTTCCTCAAAGGATGCCAAGTTTCCAGGAAATAAAAAGATATGGTTTGGGGTTTTTGTTGTGGTTTGGAGGGTTGTTTTTTGTTCTGTTTTGTTTTTATATAAATTTTGAAACAGTTTTAAGTTGGGTAACTGGATTAGCAAATTGCTGCTGGTTTTTTACAGGGGTGATTCAGGCTAGTGGAAAGCTTTATTGCTCTACTATTAATCTTAATTTTCATTACCATGCAAAACGCATGACAGAATACGGTACATGTGTGACGATGAGGCAGTGGGCTTCAATGTGACCACAAGAAATAGAAGTGAGCCTCCAAATCATGGTGCCTAAACAGAAACTATTTGCTCAAGTGGAGTAGGGCATTCTGACACACTGTGATAGATTTCCCTTTGCTCCCCCTTAGATCAATGTGGCTGAGTCTGGAATGTCAAAGCCCTTTTGAAAAAAGCTGTTTCCAAAATACTAATTCCCTCTATGGAGCAGTCCAGATGTAGACCATGGTGGCAGGAGAAAACTTGGACTTGCCTTTAAGGTGCTCTATGCTTAATCCAGGCTATTTTTCTTCCCCCTTCCCCATTTCGTGTGACAGTGTGCTCTAAGGGCAAGTGCTCTATTTCTGCCCTCCTTCTGAGAAGGAGCTTAATTTCCACAGCAGTAATTATAATGGTTTTATTTAAGTTGATATGTAGGTCTTACTGAATTATCTGAGGGCACTCCGGAAATGCATCAAGGCAGGTGACTCGTGTTTCTCACGTGGCTCTTTTTCTTCTTTCTGTACATAAATATTTTTATTGTGAAGATTGGAGTAACACCTTTGCTTTGGAATTGGGGAGGCTTTTCTTGAGGCTTGCAGGGTTTTACTCCCTTTCCTGGGTCTGACTGCTGAGATGCCTGTGACTTTGGTCATCTGCTGCCTTTCCTGCAAGAGGGGTGATACCTTCTTCTGTTTGCTGTCCCACAGTGCGCAGCAACGCTTAGGCTGGTTGAGTGCTTCAGAAGTAAGAAAAGGGGGAGCCCCTGAAATACAATCCAGCACCTTCTTAGGTCTAGAGCATCCCCCATCTGCCTGTTTGTTCCTGGCTTCCCCTGGGGAGCTTTTATGCCACCGCTTAGCAGTGCACTCTGTCACACTTCAGAGGAGCTGCCCATGCCAATGTTTCCAGTCTTATTCTGATTGTCTGTGCTTCCCACTTGCCTTCTTGTGCACAGAGAGAAGGCAGAGATCGGACACAACCCCTTAGAACAGTATAGTGTGGGGTACATTGTTTCTGTGCTGTCAGATTCTATAGGCCTCTTTCTGGGAGAGAAGTGGCAGGAGGGTTTCTTATCACGAACTGTGGCGAACATCCCATTCTTTGCTTCGTAAATCAACAATATCTGTTTAAAACAACTGCATTGGTCTTAAACCCCTGAATTTATCTGATACTGGGGAATGGCAGCTTGCCACATGTTGTATTGCTGTATCAACATCCAGGAAAAATCCCTGGTGTGCTGTTGAGAGTGAATGAGTAGTAATACTTGATTCTGGCCAGGGTGATTTCCCCAAGTACTCATCAGGGGGTGTAGAGGAAGCAAAACTACTTCTGAGTTGTGCAACTTTGTCATCCAGACAGTAATCTACGTGTCAGAAAGCCATAGCTGAATTTGTACTACTTTTTTTTTACTTTTTTTTTTTTTTTCTTTTTCAGGGCTTGCACACAGCTTGTTGAATTGTTCAGGATGATGCAAGAAGTATTGGCTTTCTACATCAGATTTAGAACAAATGTTTTCTTGCCACATGGCTCTCTGAGGCAAGGGGAGAGACTCTTGCAGTTGCTGTGGTTCTGATTAAATCAAACAAATGGCTGCAGCGCAGTTGGTTAACAACAAGGACTTTCTTTGACTGCTGTAATCTTCAGTGGCATTATTGTTGCCTAACTGGTCCCTTATGCAATCGCCAGCTCTCACCTGTATGCCATCCCACAGGAGTGACATACTGAGAAGGTCAATTGTGACCCCGAGCTGGCAGTGTGTGTGGCTCAGAGCTGTTACAGCAGCCAATAGCCAGCATCTTGCTGGATTTGGCCCTGACAGAAACATCTGTGATCTGTATAACTGTCTGATGTGTGGACAAGGGCTGTGTGGTTTTTGTGTATGTGTGTGACAGTCTAGTTGAATGTGTCTGTCATCTCTGCTTTGTAGAGATGGAAGTGTCCATCTGATGCCTGTTACTCAGACATCACCAAATTCTAATGTATCAATGTGTCAGAGGAAAAGCGTTCCCAAAGCAAACCGCCTGTCCCCAAGCAAGAAGTACAGGACACATCCTAAAGGATTGCATCAAAAGAAGTTCTCTGCCAGTTCAGCACAGCCTAGTTTAATGTTGTTTAATTCTGGTTAAACTTAACTAGTTGACTCGCTGGTGAAAGGAAATAAATAAAATTGTGAGTTGTTTTCTTGTTTGCAGTGTTAAAAAGTATTGGCTAAGTTGTTCATATTGGGTTGTTTGGTTTTTTTATCCAACAGGTTACTGGTCATTTAGATGACTGCACCTGTGATGTAGAAACCATTGATGCCTTCAACAACTACAAACTTTTTCCTAGGCTGAATGAACTTCTAGAAAGCGACTATTTTCGATATTACAAGGTAATTTTCTCATACAAGAATTATATTTATTTTGTGTGCTGCTTTTTTTTTTTTTTTTAACCTTCCTTGAAGTTATTGCTGATCTTCTTAAAACCAAATACCTACATTTCAATACTGATCTTTTAGGAATGCAGTCAGTAAGTGACAGATTCTTCTATTATCAGAACAGTCTTAATGTGGTACAACATACTAATAAAACACACAATTTTAAAGATATTTTCTTATGCTTTTTTCCCTCTTAAGAACTTAAGCAGTAGACCAATGAAGTGACTTCTTTTGTTGAGCTGTGGCTCAAAAATGGTGATGACTGGGGATCCACATTGCATAATGAGAGTATTGGTAGCGTCTCCCCATTGGCTGGTAGCTAAACCAGGCATTCCATGTCATTCAGGTGACTTGATGGCTGTTACTGCCAGACCGTGGTCATTACATGGATTCTGTTCCCGTTCAGTGAGGTTGCATGTATGTGACTAAATGTGGGGTTGGTTTGGGTGTGCTGGGGTTATGGGGCAGTATTTTACCTGCTGCATACAAACAATGAATAGTGACTGTTGCCTGATGGTTTTCACAGACAAAATAAGTATTTACTCTTCTGTAAGAACAGTTTTAAAAGTTCCCAATTTCACTGCACTGCAAACTAGATGGGCCCGTATATGAAATCACCAGGGTAGAGCTGCTTTTTCCTGCTTGTGGGTTTGGTAGAGAGGGGTAGATCTTGTTAAATGCTAATTGTTTTGGAAGACTGATACCTGATACCAACTCACAGAAAAGAAAGACTAGGATTTGTTAAAGAAATTAATGTCCTTTCCCCTTCCAGTGTTGGGATTTGTAACAGAAATACTAAGATTGGTCTGAATGGGAATGTCTGTGTGTGAAAGCACCAGAACAGCAAAGCGAGGATTAAAAGAATAACCTGTATTGGTAACAAGGACATGAGTGATAGCAATCAATCTGGTAAAGACCAAGGAATTATTTGTTCCCGTCAAGCCCAGGTGGCTTGTACACCGACAAGTCCAGAACACGCGACTTGACAGCAGAAGATCTGCGCTCTGGCCACAGGAGGATGGCAGTAAGGCTCCAGCACGTTCTCCTCCTCCTGTGCTAATGGGAAGGCAGGCTGTAGTCCTAAGATGCCCGAAACAAGGAAACAAAATCGATGGATAGCAAACTTCCTCTAAGATTCACAGAGAATGAAGTGAGCCATATTCCAAGGCTAAAGATTGCTCCATAGTAACTGTTGGCTCCTAAAGGGTACAAACTCCCTGGCCAAGACCCATGTTGTCATGGCTTAACAGGAGCCTCGGGATTAGAAATCAGTGGTCTATGTGTCCTGTCTTCTGTGTTAGCACAAACAGCCCTGGCGAGGCTGCACGGGTGCACACATCTCATTTGAGAGACAAGGGAATGAGTGTGATTAAGATAAATAACATAATCTGGTTTCACTCTCACTGCATTCTACCTTGCACTAAGTTTTTGTTGTCTGAAGTCTTGCACTAAGGCACTGAAGATGTGTGTTGGCAAACTGTGGTGTGGAAGGTTGGCTTGGTTGCATGGAGGAAATGTGTAATAGGATAATATGTTATTTGTAGGTAAACCTAAAGAAACCTTGTCCTTTTTGGAATGACAACAGTCACTGTGGAATAAGAGACTGTGCTGTAAAGCCCTGCCCATCTGTAAGTACAGAATCCATTCTTTTACCTCTTTTCTATATTTGGCTTTTGCAGACCAAGAGGAAGAAGCAGGCAAATGACTTGCTCTTCTCATTACTGTGGCTCTGATGAAGCTTTCTTAGGTGCAGTAATACAGGTATCCATGAGAAAGGCCAAAATGCTAAATTCTGAAAGTTTAAATAAAGGCTTGGCTTTTAATAGCTGACCCTCTGTGAATGGCCAAAAACTTGTCCTGGTCCCTCTTTTGGTATTAGTGAGATGTTTTTTGGGCAAGTCCGCTGTTGTTACAAGAAGTGCCTCTTGTGTTAGTTGCCAGGATATTTGCTCTGTTGGCCCATGAGCTACGCTGGGGTTTGCAGTTTCAGCTGATGAATTTGACCAGGCCCTTTTCAGCCCTCTATATGTGAAATGGCTCTTTCAGAGTCCTCTGTTTCCCAGTACAAAAGCAAACACTCTTGTCCGTGTGTCCTGGACAAAAGGGTTTTGTTTGCTGAGCTAAAAGAAAACACCTTGACTGCAGGTGTCTGCCTGAAAAGAAGGGGGTGAGAAAGTGAGTGAATCAGAACTTGGGTGCTGGGTTGGTAGAGGTGGTGAAACTGCCACCCAGCCTGGCTTTGTGGGTTGGCAGCCAGCAACAGACCATCTTACGCTCTCGTTCCTGGGTCTCCAGAGCAGTCAGGGGTACACCATGCTGGTGGCACAATGAGTGCTGCTCATGGAAGAGGCCTCCTGACCCTACTTCTAGGCATTTTTCCAACTCGGTGGCTTATTTTCACGTACAACTTCAAGTATGGTGTGATGAAGCATGCGTCTGTCCCCCTCACCTGGTAACTCTGGGGTAACCTGACGTAGTGTAGCTGTTGGCTGAAAAAAACATCTAAGCTGATATGACACCTTGAAACAATCTGGTTCGTGTGTGTGTGGGCATCACTTAAGTAAATTCTGATGTGCATGTTAAATTAATGTGTCTTCTCAGCCATCAACTACCCTACCTCTCAAACAAGTTTTCTTTGCTTCCCGAGTCTTCAGAAAGCACCTGTTGTGGACCAAATTGTGGGGTGATGATTCTCCCCTCTCCCCCCCATCTGAAATAACCCGAAGTTTTGTTTAAATACTTTTTTCCTTGAAAAGGATGTTTTTGGCAATGATCATGACCAATGTGAAGGAGTAATGTTACAGTTACGTTAGTAGCTAGAATTTGTTGTTATCTTAAGAACTGACTGTGTCACTGCTGTTTTTAATTATTTTGATTTAGGTCCATTTCATTCTGAAAGCAACAAAAATAACTTAATTTTTCTCTTCTGTGCTGCTTGCCATCATAGTATTTGCTCCTCCAGCATAGAAGTGGTTTTAGTGCCTTCCTACTGATGGAGGAGATGGAGGTTGAGGAGAATGTAGGGCCTGATCGTCTTGTGCGCACTGCTCAGGTTGTGTGGGGCTGGCAAGCCTGACGTTACGTGATGGAGTGGTAAAAGGAAAGTTTTTGAACGACGTGTATCAGGGGCTGGGAGATGCAATACCTGAGGAGGTGCCTGGGCTCCTGTCATGAGCGCTGGCGTCACCCAGAGACAGGATGACAGACATCAGCTGACCAGAGGCAACTCCAGCTCCTCTAAAGTTTTTATTGGCTTCCCCAACCTCACGCTTGGGTAAACAAAACATAACCTGATGTAGCGCTCCGTGGAAGGCTGCTGTGACCTTTTGAGAAGTGTCTTGCGAAAAATCAAAATAAAGCACCAAGAAATTACTTAACCCTAGTCTGTGGAGGAGCCAGAATTTGGATGTGTTGTAAGCTGAGTGCTTTGATTCCCTTTTAAATTCTAGAAAGTGTGGTAACCTTCCTAATCTTTCTCCAAGAATAGGCTGAAAGTCCACATCAGCCCCACATGTAACACATGCTCAATTTTGTCTTTCAGGACGAAGTCCCTGATGGAATCAGATCTGGAAGTTACAAGGTAGCGTGCCTGTGCATAGCCACCATGCACAAAATGACGCTGCTTATAGGGACAGTTTTGTGTCGCTGCAGCTGATAAGAGCTGCCTTAATCAGATGTTTGTCAGGATGTACTTTGTGGCTAAATTTCTACCCTCTTCAAGTGCTTGGCATGCTACAGAGCCTCTGAGGTGGCTATCCTGAAGTCAGGTATTCCCCTCCACCAACGGGCAGTTCAGGAGACTTCTCCAAGAGCAGGTATCATCAGGCACAAAATGCTCCTACAGGAGTGCCAGAGGCTGCTGTGGGTCCCTGCAACAAGCATCACAATTGCATAAGCCTCTGAATAGCTGCAGACATCCTGTGGAAATACAGGGTGGGATGAATCATTAAAGTGTTTCTGATGCTTCAACTGGTTAGTGCATTAAAGGCAGAATTACAGCAGCAGAAAAACTGCTTTTTAATCCTCTTTCCTCACCCCTTTGTTTTTCAACCCAGTATTCAGAAGAAGCTAATAACCTTGCTGAAGAATGTGAAGAAGCCAAGAGGCTTGGAGCTGTTGATGGCTCTTTGAGGTTTGACTTTTTTCCACAATCTTTACTTGTCTTGAAGGAAACCTAGTATCAGTGCTCTTCCTGACAGTCTTTTTCCACTTTCTTTGCAGCAAGGAAACCCAGCAGGCAATGCTGCAGTGGACACGGCACGATGACTCTTCAGACAGCTTCTGCGAAGCTGATGGTATGAGGACCTGTTTGATCTGACAAGTCTTGTAATGGGATTTTAAGTACCTCTGCAGAACTTTCAGGCCAATGTGTAATATCTCAGCAAGCCTGAAGAATATATCTTATTTCTTCTCTTTCCCAGCCCACCACCTTCAGTTTTTTGAAAATAATGTGATGCAAATATTTCTGACAAAGCTCCACTGCTGGTCAGGGTCTTGCCGTGTTTAGCAAGTTAGCAGCTTGGATGGAGCGTGCTCCGTTGGCTTTGCCATCAGTGGCCTTGCGCTCCGATGGCTCTGAAGGCCGGAGAGCTTTGCCCCGCTGCAGCGGGTTCATGCGTAGCAAACGTTATGTACCTGCCTCCCTGGGGAGGGATGAGCTGGTCTCTCTGCTAGGAAGACTGTTCCGTATGCAAAGGGGTGGTGGATCTGGAGCAGCTGTGGAAGGTGTCATTTTCCTTCAGAAGTTTTTGTCCCTGACCCAGCACTCTGCTTCACAGACTTCTATTCTCCTGACACGGAGTACGTGGATTTACTCCTGAATCCTGAACGCTATACTGGCTACAAAGGACCGGATGCCTGGAAGATCTGGAACAGTATTTATGAAGAAAACTGCTTCAAGTACGTGCTTTAGGAGACAGGTTCCACAAGCTCGCCGGCACTATTTTTTTGCAGAGGGGCTGCATGTGCTTTAACTGCTCCATTAATCCCCATCCTCTTGCTTTTGCCGCAGTGCATGTGTGGTGTAGGCTGTCAGAGGAGGGGACAAGCCGCGTGGCTGCCCCGTGAGCTCCCCCCCTCTTGGCTGGTCCTTGGACCACAGCTTGCCCCAGTGCGGGCTCCCAGTGCAAGCCCTGCAGCGTGGGGAGACGGCAGCCTGGCAGGGGGTGCGCATCTCCTGTGTGATGTGGTCCTGGGCACACAGCCCTGTCCTCCCTGGCAACTGCACAGGATTGGTGAGCTCTCTCCCCAGTCTGTGTACCAGTTTGAACTCTGCTGTGGGTACCCCTGGGGCTGAGGCACAGTACTGGTGGGCACTGGTCTGTAGGTTTGCCTGCTCTGATCTCTCTAGTGATTTCCTCCCCATTTGTACTAGTATCTAGTATTGCACCAAGGCTGTGGGATAATGTCTGCTGGCACCTCTGTAGACACTTGAGTTTTCCTAGCTGTTACTTCTAAAGAAAGAAGGAAAAAATAGAGAAAGCCACACTTTGCTCTATCCCTTTCTTGTCTGAGCAAAGCTAAAGCACAGAAGGGGTTCTTAGGTTTCCTGAGGCTATTTCACTGCAGTGAAGTAACTACTTTTGCTATGCTATGCAAGGAAGGCAGTCACTGATTTACATATCTTATTTACATGAATTTTTGTTTTTCCTCTTAGGCCTCAGAATGTAAAAAGACCTTTGGCATCTGGTAGAGGTGAGTCATTTATTTATCTCACTAAGTGGTTTAGTAGCGTGCTGATCCTAGCTCCAGGAACAGTAAATGCTTTCTGAGCTACTTCAACAGACTGAGAAATATATTGTAGCTCTCAATCAGGTCTAGAATTTTAAGGCTAATGCAAGGGCACCTGGCAGTGTGGCTTTCTAGCATCCGTCAGGGAGAAGGGAAGTCTGATCTACCACTCCTGGAAGAAACGTGAGCTTTGGAGGGACTGGGAGCAGGACTGAACCTCGAACCCTTCTTGGGTCTCCAGTTTGGGTACTGAGCAATACCAGACCATCAGTGGTGGACTGAACCTGGCTGGCATCTTCTGCAGAAACCATCCAGTAAGAGAAACTCTGCCCTAGAGGCTAAGCCTAAATGTGTAAATGAAAGTAGAGAAGGATTTTGGAAACGTAAGAGCTTCTTGCCCAAGGCTGCTAAGACATCCCAGTTCTCCTGATGCCCCATCCCACCCAGACATCTAGAACATCATCAGTCTTGCTCCCTGTTCATTTGACCTGAATACCAGGTGCTCCAGCAGAACCTTCTGGGGTGGTCTCTTGATTTTTCCCTAAACTCTGTAGGTGCTTCCCCCCCTCCTTTGACCCTTGTGCAAATGAGCGGCGCTCCAGGAGCAGCACCAGTGAAGGAAGTGTACAATGTCCTTTAAAATATCAGTGCTTTGCTTGACCACCTCTGTTTAGGGCAAGATCTGAAAGAAATAACACAGGTATGTTGAGAGGTGAGGGAAGGACTGCTGTTTTGCAGAGGAGGAAGCAGGAGGACATGAAAATAGAGGATCTGACCTGATACTTGTGAGAGTTGTTGCAAGCAACTAAGAAACTGCAGGAAACAGGGATGGGGTCCTTGAGTATCCTGCTGGAGGTCATACAGGAGATCTCTGGCAGAGGTAGACACCTCTGTCCCTGTTTTCTGGTCTCTGCTTCAGCTGTGTGGTGGTTTTAATTCCTTTGCAAATATTGATCCCTTCTGTGTTGGTCAGGTTATTCAGGAGGATGGCTCATCTGGTGTGTTTGTTGCTGCAGTTGAGATGATATTTTCTCTGTTTGGAACATCTCTAAACCTCCCTGGAGAGGCTCGCTCTCTTGTCAGAGTAGATTAACAGAACAATCTTAATGCTTGTGCTTTGGAGTTTAATTTTGGTCATGTGTAACTTTTATCTCCTCTTTTCTCTCCTTCCACCACTTGTGCTTTTTTTTCTTCAGGAGACGATGGAGGTGAGTGGTACTCTGTTTGTTTTTACTGATAACAGAAACAAATGTGGTGTCTTTATCGTGCTGTCACGAGCTATACCATTAGATAACGTACCTGGTTAGCAAAATCATTGTTCAGGCAAAATGCAAATTTGTCTTGAAATTCTGCTGTGTCCACGAGCCTGTGGAGCTCCCTGTCCCTGAGGCCAGTCCAGCCTGTAGTAGCGGGTAGTGTGAAACGCTGGCTTGTGTGATTGTACGTGCTTGGTTGCGCTGTTTTATTTTTAATTAAAATACTTGTCTTCCATCCTGGCTAGAAGAGAAAAGTGATCCGTGGTCTGCGCTTCCCTTGGGCTTTCTGCCCCCCACCCAGCCGTTGCTGAGACAGGTGGGAAGGACCACGTGCTATGTTTAGCTGCTGCCACGCTGTGTTCTAGAAGCATCAGTCAGAAGGGTGGGGAGGAAAGATATTGTCATGCTTTTCTAATGCTCCTCTCCCTGTTTCTGCAAATGGCAGTGAGCAGAGGTGCTCTGGGGGCTGGCCTCCGAGCTGGTTTCAGGGCATCGGGCTTGGGCAGCACCCTCCCATGCTGCAGAGGGGAGGGTACTGCCTTGTCTCACTCACGTATCATCCTGCTGTGCTAGGGAAGATGCAGCCAGAGAAGTAGCCTAAAACGTGACACAGGGTGTTAAAGCCCTCCTGCTGCTGCCAGGCATCTCAAACTGATAGGCTTCTTTTCCTTTTGTTTCCAGGTCATACGTTTTACAAGTGGCTGAAAGGTAATCTGTTTTCTAAACTTGGTTGCTCTTCCTGGGGTGCACACAAAATGGCCAGGGAGTGGGTAGGGATTACTTGCTGTGCTCAAGTGGGATTAGATTTCTGTGTGACAGCCAGGAGAAGAAAATTCAACGTATGTTTTCAGTATCTTAAAGTGCCCGTTTCTTTTCAGGTGTCTGTGTAGAGAAACGAGCTTTCTACAAACTCATTTCTGGTCTCCATGCAAGCATCAACATCCATTTGAGCGCCAGGTACCTCTTACAAGGTAACTGCTACTTTCTGCCTTAGCTCTCTTGCATCAGGCCTAAATTGACACTTTGGCTCTGCTAAATGCTAGCCAGAGCCCGTTCTGGCAGGGTTCAGGCCTACTCCTTTGCTCTGCTCTTCCATCCCTCAGCACTCAGGTTGTGTAACAGATCAGGAATGCAGTTGCCACGTGCCTTCAGGTCTGAAAATGGCCGGACTGTGCTCTGTACTGAGATTTCCAGCACATATTCCTTCTGTTCTTCCTCCAAGGTTATTTTGGAGGGGGTTTCTAACTGCACGTTGAGACTGTCCCTCCCTAGCCTGTCTCTGTGACGTAGAGTTTAGCAATAATCTCACCCAGCCTGTGAAATGCTTGGCTGGGTTTTCCCAAGGCCCTTGATCCGTTTCCATGTGCCATTTCCTTTGTCCATAAGCAGCTATCTGAAGAATCTAAATTTCAGCCCTGGGGCTAAAAACCCAGGGTGATGTGAAAACCTGACCTGTGCGTCTCGCACGGCCAAGGGCTGTGGCCCACCACTCGTGCAGTGTGGGATGCGGGTTCTGATGGACTTCCTGAAGGATTCAGTCACGGTAGTTCAGAGTGAGACCTGCAGACCAAGCCTACCACCTTTTATTCTGCTCAAGCTTACAATGATCAAGTACAGATTTAGAGAGAGCTGTTGGATAAGTAATTTAGATTTAACTAAGTAATTATATTTAAGACTCTACGGCCCGCGTAGGCCTCACCTTAATGTGAGTTAGACTACATTAGAGCTGGGAGATAGAATAACAGAGAAACATTAAAGGCGAGAGATGAGTTGGGAGTCTGCAGAGAGGATTAGGAAAATGAGGTTGGATTTCTTTGTGTAGAAAGGGATAGCTGCTGGTGGTGAAGACTACAGAAGGTGATCTCTGCTCTGAGGTCTCCCTGGCTCAGCTTTGATCCCTGCAGGGATTCCCATCTGCAGGTGCCGTGATCCCCTGGTAGAGAGCCTACCTCAGCTCAGAGCTGGGAAGGAGGAAGGAGCCCTTTCCTGCTGGGCTGGTTATCCATTGGTGATTTGCAAGATAAAGCTTCTCCCACTTCTTTTTTTTCTTTTCAGTTTTCAGCATCAGCCTGCTATGATTGTATTATATCTTCCACTACGGACCTTATATAATCTAAAGTACACGATAGGATGAGCAAATGGAAATACTCTTTGTGAAACCTGTGGGCTTGATAATGAAAAACAGAGTCCAGTCTCCTCTGATCCTTGGCTGCTTTTGTCCTCCTGCATTTCCACACCAGAAGGAATTCTCTTAAGGTGTCCCTGTCCGTTAGGGAGCCTCCCAGCCTCTGGCCTCCCGCGCTGCTTCCGGGTGCAAGGTGATGAGGAGGGCTGCACTGCCCGCCTCTGCAGGCACTCAGACCAAAGCAGGGACCTCTGCTGAGCTCTGCAGTAAGTCAGTGGCTTTTGTGGGCAGGCGGGAAGGCATGGAGGGACATTCGCAGCCTGTCTGGTACATCCATCGGCCCTCTTCGCTTGCAGACACGTGAGCTATCACCAGCTTACTTAGAACTGCTCTCAGAAACAATCAGCTCACCTGATGAGAAACACTTCAATGGATTTAACTCTCTTTAAAACAGGCAGCCTCCTTTTTTTTTTATTACTTTTATTTTTTAGCTTTTGCTTGTAAGCCTGGGTCATGTTTTAAACCAACTGACAAAGGTCTGCAGGAGATCTGCGTTTACTGGGAGTTGTGTTTGGTTAAAAGCACACCCCTCTTGACTCCCGAGCAATTTGCAGTTAGCGAAAGGGCTGTGACTATTGCAAAGCTTGGATCTCCCTGGTTAGAGTTACACCTCGCTGTTTAACTTGGGATGGTGGGAGGAGCAGAACCAGAGCCGTTCCCATCCGCCTCATGTCTTTGGTTTTTGTTCCTCTCTCAGATACGTGGTCAGAGAAGAAATGGGGCCCCAATGTTACAGAGTTCCAGCAGAGATTTGATGAAGTCATCACCAGAGGGGAAGGTCCCAGAAGACTCAAGAACCTGTATTTTCTCTACCTGATAGAGCTGCGGGCCCTATCCAAAGTGCTGCCGTTCTTTGAGCGCCCAGGTTTCCAGCTGTACACAGGGAATGAAAGTCACGACGTGGAAGTGAAAAACCTCTTGCTGGAAATTCTCCATCTGGCCAAGTAATTGCATTTGGTACCTGGGGAGAAAAGCTCTTCCAACGCTGGCATCTCTGAGCGTGCTTAGCCTTTCACTAAAGCGCCTAGAAAGGCAGGTTCTGGGCTCATTCTTGTAGGAGGAGAGTGATTTGTGCAGTAGGGTAGTGTTGCTGGGAGTACATCGGTATCCATATTCAAATTGCAAACCAGGGTAATTAAGCCCACAGTTTAATAGTCTAGACTGCCTTTTTGGTTTAGCAGGATTGAATTTAATAACTGCCTGTGTGTCAGCCCTGAAACTGGCTACCTGTTTGACTCCTCTGCGGAATACCAATCGTGGCTTTGTGTTTTCGACTAGAAAAAAAAAAATCCTAAACACGTTGGTAACAGAGGTTTGGGCTATTGGACAGAGTCTGCAGTAAGAGGAATGGAAGATACCGGAACCAGATGAAAATGGGTGTCTCCTGATGTGATTGATGTTTAAATTTATCTTGTCGCACTCCTGTGCCTTCAGTGCTGGTGTCTGTTAGAAAACAGACTGCAACCGCTTAGAAACCATAGCGCAATTGCTGAAAATGTCTCCAAGGTGAGATGCAAGCTAAAATTGAAATTGAAAGCCTCCAAGAGATCTAAGAAATAAGCAGCTTGACTTAAAATACATCTAGAGATGCCCACTGTCTGACACCTATCAGTTTCATTTGCGCACCTAACCAGATACTTCTGTAGATCTGGACTTTGGCTGTACAAACTGTGGAGAGATAAAACACTTTTTCATTTCTCTTTCAGGTCTTTCCCACTGCATTTCGATGAAAACTCATTCTTTGCAGGGAATAAAAAGGAAGCCGCTAAACTAAAGGTAATCGGCCAGCCCTTCCCTTTGGGGAAGGCTTGGGCTTGGTACCCAAAGGGTATTTTCAGGTGCGTGTCTGGGCTAATACTAGATCCGAAAGGGACCCCAGTACACGCAAGGTACCGGATTGGGTATTTCCAGTTCACTTTTGCTTTCTGAATGGTTTGGATCCTTGTGGGTAATGACAGACTGGAGGCCACTTCTTAAGGGGAGCGGGAGATTGCTGCTGAGGACCCCGCTTCAGGAAGCATTTCCCTAACTCAGCTCCACTGAATTTAGCCTGAAGTCCAGGATTAATACATTATTAGATTTGGATTAAGAAACGGAGGAAGTCCTAATTAGTGCGTAACCATAATCAACTTGAATGTCTTTTTCCTTCCTGAAGGAGGAATTTAGGCTACACTTTAAGAATATTTCTAAGATAATGGACTGCGTTGGCTGCTTCAAATGTCGCCTGTGGGGGAAGTTGCAGGTGAGCTCTGCCAGCAGCTGGGGATGTGTCTGGAAGTGCCTCACCTGATGGGGCTCTGGTGCGCGGATCTGGTTCTCGGGTACCGGTCAGCTCCCCCGTACAGATTGGGGCTGCGTGAGTCGTTCCCTAGTCCAGTCAGCAGGAAAATGCCACCTTGCGGGTCTGGCGCCAGCTGCCTGTGGCCTCTGCAGCTGAAAACTGGGTTAATGTGCTAGAGCCGCTCCCCAGGAGAGGGGCGGGAGGGGGTGCAGAGCCTCTGGTGCTGTAAAACTGGGGGTTCAGCGAGATCTGCGCTGAATTTCACACATGGTCAAACCCAGCCAGGAAGCCTCTGCTGGGTAGCTCTGCTGTAGCAGTAAGGCTAAATAAATAAAGCATCCCGGCTCTGTTCCGCTCCCTTCTCTGACCTGTGTTCAGTGAAATCCAGGTCTTGCTCTGTCATAATGATGTCAACAGGAATCCCTGCAAAGATGAAGGAGGGAAGTGAAGCTAAACTTGTGGGGCCCTGGATGCCTCCCCGCTATTAAATGATCTCGTTTGTCACGCACAGACACAGGGCTTGGGGACAGCGCTGAAGATCCTCTTTTCTGAAAACCTGATAGAAAAGATACCTGAAAGCGGCCCCTCCTATGGATTCCAGCTGACAAGACAAGAAATCGTTGCCTTATTTAATGCTTTTGGAAGGTTAGTTTGAGACTTTTTTTTTTTTCTCTGCTGCGTTACATCCCATTTAAGGTTAAACAGGCAAGTTCTCATCAGCAGCATTGGTGTTAACTCCTGCTTGGACCATACTGTCTCATAAAGCAGCTTTCAAATGTCAGATGATGTTAATACAGAGTGCAATAATTGGAACAATTTTAAAACAACTTCTTTATATTTCTGTGAGAAATTTAAGGAAGCATTTGTGTTAAGATACAAAGAATTCAGTAATTTTTGAGACTGCTCTGAATAAATGTCCTCAGAGCACACTGTCCCCAGACAAGGGTTGCTGTTCTCATTCAATCCTCACTTTAGAGCTCTCCTTCAGGCTTCTTGCTTCCACCAATTTGTTCCCAGATCCACTTGCACAGCTTGCATTTAGCAGGAATCCATCAGTTCAGCCCCTGTGGAGAGCTGGATGACGAGGTTTTGGCAGAAAAGGAGGGTAACAGGCCTTTAGGAGGGAGAGGAGATTCAGGACGCTCAGCTTATACGTTACTGCTTAGTGGTGCTGACAGACCTGGAGTTTCTGGCAAAGGATTCTTCAGGTGATGATGTTGCTGCTGCTAAAGCTCAGGGGGTCCTGCTGTGTCTCACTGCAAACCTACTGGCTGTACCTGCTGCAGTGTGAGCCCCTGGTGAGGGGCAGACCCCAACGTGCATCAGTCAAATCTGGAAAACTCCAAAATTCTCTTCCCCAGGGATGTTGTGGTGCTCCCCTTACACCAGAGGAGCTGGGCTTCCTTCTGCCTTTCTAGTGCTGTGTCAACACAGCCTTTGGAAAACAGCATGGAGGAGACTCACAGACCCTCTGACAGTCTCTGGTCGGAGGAAGCTGAGGGCTGGCAGCAAAGAGCCTTTCTCTTTGTGCCCTTCCCCCTCTGCTGCCCACCTAAAACCTCACCCTGGAAGTTCTGCTGTGAGCAAACACTGCGGCCAAGCACCTCATTCCTCAGCCCTGACTCCAACCTCACCCCCTGCCTGGCTTAGAAAAGCCTTTCCAAGCCGACCTCCGTCTCTTGCTGCTGGTTCCAAAGGGATCTGGGTTACTGATTCAAAACCTCCCCCAAGCGAAGGCTGTCCCGGCTGGGAGGGGCAGAGCTCTCCCCACTCGCTGCCTGAATCTTGGCTGATGCTCTGGGGTAAAATGCATTCAGCAAGAAAAATGAGGTAGGTGATTGAAAGAAAAACACCTTCAGAAGAAACAAACTTAGATTGCAAGGAGAGTCTGCACCCTGCCTGCACAGCTGGTGATATTATGGTCTATTTCTTGACCTCTAGTTAATGGGTTTGTCTGATCACTGCTGCGCTCTCTGTAACACCCTGTTCCACTGTGTTTCTCAGTGGGCCTGGCTGTAACCAGGACCTAATTTAGCTGAAATTCTAAATTCTCTCTTCCCGAGAGCTCCATGAAGCTTTATTTGAGCGCAGTCCCTTTCTCCTGAATTTTAAATAAGGTGTGGTGCAGATGTTGCTCATACTTCCCTCTTGCTCTCCTTGCACCCAGGATTTCAACAAGCGTTAAAGAACTGGAAAACTTCAGGAACATCTTACGAAATCTGTAGTGAATTTGTTGGAGAAAGAGAGACTTAAACTTCTACTGCTCGGCTGTTCTGGGTTCTCCAAAAATGGACAAAGACCATTGTTCCATCACACTCCCAACTACTACACGGTGAAGATCACTTGCTGGATGTCCTGTTCTCAGCTGATTGTCTGTAACCTGCTGATGACATATTTTGTAAAAGGAAAAAAAAGCTACTTTTTTTTGTAATATAAGTGGGGACTATGTGTAAAGTTTATTTTATATATTGGAAGATCGTTCTGAATCACTTTAAATAGTGCTGTACTATTTTGATGGATGAGACCACTCTTTTGGCCTTCAGAAGCTGGAGGTGGGGTAAGAACTGTGATGCTGAATAAATTTGGGGAAAAGGTCTTGTCCGTTCCATGATTCCAACCACCCCCTCACTTACACTGCCTCTACCCTAACTTTGTGCTGCATAAAAACAGACTGCAAGGCATAGTAGGAGCCCCGTACCTCAACTGCCCTACAACTGTGCCTTCCTCTTGGTGGAACTTTGTGGCAGTGGGCTGTTCACGATGGTTTCTGCTGCAGCACCTCTGCTGTGTGCTGGCTGGGCTTCAGCAAGTGCCAGGATCTGTTACAGACCTGCTGGTCTTTTGTCCCTGCCAGGCTCTTAAAGAGGGTGTCCTTGTTTGGGAGCTGCTTGTCTGATGCTGGTAGCCAGGCAGGGCTAAAAAGGGACAGGAGGGACTGGCCCCAGGGCTGCCACTCCTCTGTTGAAGCTGGATTTTGCTGTTCCAGGGACAAGCAGCTGGGGAGCAGGACAGAGGTCAGCCACAGCCCCCCTCCATCTCAGCAACACCAGGGGCCAGACCCCCCCATCCAGCTGCCAGCCAGGGCCCACAGGGACGGAGCCAGCCCTGATTACACCACCCACCTTCGCAACAGGGGCAAAGGACAGGCTCACACGTGGTCAGCACTGCCAGAAAATACGTGCCCCTCGCACAGCCCTGCAAAGTGAAGGGGCGCAGCAGCTCCAGCCACACTGCTTTGCACCCCAAAACACACTGTGGGGGCAGGTACTGCCGCACAGGAAGATGCAGCATGTGCTCCAGCTAAGCTGCTGCTGTTTGCAGCGAGCTCAAGGCCACACAGATAAACCTGTGCGAGGAAATAAGAGAAGCACCACATTACCAAGTGGGATTTTCAGCTCCCCCACGGCTCAGTGCTGCAGAGGAGGGACAGCAGGTCCCAAGAAGGGGACAAAGCACAGCCCACACCCAGCTGTGCTTCCCACCCTACACCAGGCCAGCCTCAGCTCTGGGAGCCTGGCAAAAACCAGCCGTACCAGGTTACCAGACACATCCAGGGTCCTGTGCCAGCACAGCCTGCAAACCCCCGGCCGGGGGACAGCAGGACCACAGCTGGAGCTGGCTGGATCACACCAAGAGCAAAACACAGCCATGCCTCCAGCAACCTAGCACAGAAACTTTTTTTTTTTTATTTCAACATAGTAGTGCTTGGTTACAGTTTAGTGAAGAACAAATAGGTACATTCATTGGCCACAGCTTCCTGTTGCAGCCAGCTGCTGCCTGACTGCAAAGCCAAAATACTGTCAAACCATACCAAAAAAAGAAAGTTTAATGAAAGGCAACTATGCATTAAAAAAGTCATTGTACTTCTCAGCTATAAATTACTTCAGTAAAACACGGGACCAGCCCCAGCAGGAGCCGTCAAGAGTTTCGAAATTAACAGCCATCCATACAAATGAATAAAACCAAAACACTTTGCCAGTCACTCACTAGTACATTAGCAACAAGACTCACTGCCCCGACCTGCCATCCTAATGCCAGGAAGATCGTATTGTTGTTGTGTGCTTCAGTGCAATATGAACAATGAGCCTGTAGCCCTTTAATTTTATTTTTTTTTTTTGCACTACACTCCTTTCCCTCCAAAGAAAAACTTAAAGTGCTCCTAGTGCTTTGGAATTTAAGCAAGAACAAGGGCCACTAGCGTCACTTACTGTCTTTGGTGACTTATGGGAGAAGAAAGAAGGGCAATGCACCGAGTCCAGGTCCTTCATTAGCTTTGCCATAAGTCAAGCAGTGATTGAGATGGAGCAACCCATTTCTGCAGCCAAGGCAAGGAGACAGGTCCCTTACGCCACGTAAGGTGGAGCAGCCAGGAGAGCCACAACAGTCAGGGTGAAGCTCTCTGGTTCAAGTACTAGAGCAAGAGGGATGTGCTGAAAGTTGTCATCTCAGAGCCTTCTCTAAAAAGAAGCAGAGGTTGCTCATTTCTTTTGGGCCAGCAAGAGTGAAGCTGGTTGGCAGGGAGAGGCCCACAAGCCAGCACAGACCACAGAGGGACAGGGTGTTCTCAGTGTGACAAGTGACATCTAGCTCAGTACAAGTGAGGTGGGTGATGGGGTGACCAGGCCATACTAGTGAGCAGACAGGGAGCGAGGAGAGGCTAGGGCTGCCCCAGTGCATGGGACTCCCTCACACAGCTGTGGACACTGAGGCTGCTTGGGGTCCCTCCCACACCAGCAGCCCACAGCCACCGTACCACTCCATGCACAGGTGAGTCCTTCACCCCAGCTAGGTCCTTCAGTGTCAGACTCGGGTTTACAGAGCAGGAGCAGCTCTAGGTAGGTTAAAAGCAGTTCCAGTTCAGGCTGTCACTAGAGGCCAGAGCGGCTGCCCTCCCTGGACCAGTGCCTCCATCCAAGTCCATGTCCAAAGCTGCTTCACTTATCCCCGCATCAGGCTCAGGGACAAGCAGGGATACCATCAAGCCTCATCTCCATGAGCTTGGAGCCATAGGCCAGGTCAACCTTAGCAGAGAAACCTCCTCCCACACTGACCCAGCACACTCCAACCCTGTGTACACCACAAAGCACTGATGACACAGTATGTGACAGCAGGAGGACTCCAGGCACATGGTCCTGCCCTGCAGCACGGAGCAAGGAGCCCTGGGACCAGATCTGGGCAGTGTCTGCTACTTCCCTCCACAACAGCAGGTGTTGCTTCTGCAAGCAGACAGACACCTCCTGGGCCTCAGTGCAGAGCCCACTGGTTCACATCCACTTCAGATTAAAAAACTGGTTTCCTGCTAAATGCAATTAATACTGAGGGGGAATGGGGAGCCCCACGACAGGTGAAGAGGCAGGAGCAGGGCTGCTCTCACCCCAACGAGTTAAAGCAGCCCTGGTTTTACACGTGCTTTGGGAACATACACTCTTGCAGAGCCAGCTACAGCCCCCAGTTTCCCAGAAGAGAGCAGCCTACAAAGCCTTGCCCCCCAGACTTGACAGCAGCTGCCATCCAAGCCAGCCCTCTTCCTTTGCCATAAGCTAGTGGGTTGGTTACAACGTGGTGATCTTAGTGCCAGCAGGAGCACTCGATCTCACCCTTACAGGCCTCTGCTAGGATATGCTTTGAGCTCAGCTTGGAACCCAGAGTCCTGCATAGGACAGTTCAGCAACCAGGTGAAACGAGGACCAGCAGTCAGAGCAAGGCCACACTCAGCCCAGAGGCCTCAGCCCTGCCAGGTGTGAATATGGCACAGTATGCTTTAACATTTGCCACAGGAGGCCCTGCCTGCAACACACTCAGGTGACAAAGCTTCACAGTCCCAAGTGAGTCAGGATGCAGAGTACTTCACAGAACACGTCTTTGCAGGAAGACAGTGCCTCTCCCAACTATGGATGTGCAATTAAAAGAATAACTAGAACAGTCTCAGACCAAGCACAGTCTGAGCAAGATTCATTCCTTCCAAGTGTGCAGATAAAAGTGCAAATATGCATTTGATGTTTCTTTTCTAGTGAGGAAGCTCTGGTGCATTTAGCTGCCAACATCTTGAAGACCAGACCAAGAAAAAGCTTCCAGAGAGTCAGCTTCACTTTTGCTACATGGTACCTTAAAGTCACAGTTCTCTTGCTTACTGCCTGCAGCTGTAGGCTCAGTCCTGCTTACAGCTGCAGCAGGTAGTGGAATGTTTGTCAATGAATTAGATGCTTCAGGGAAGAAGGAAAGAGAAAACCAGGTTACAATCCTATACATGAATGCCACTTCTGGGAAGAAAGGGACCTCGCAGCCTCTTCAGTTCTGTGGTGCAGGGTATGAGCTATGGTGATTATTCATCTCCGAGCCGCCCGCGGCAAAGAGCAAGGGGGCACTGTCTGTAGCGGTTCCGCCGAGATGGGGACCCACCGTGTAGCTGTCATTCCCGGCCAGGGACCCATAGCAGCCAGAGGACTGAGGGGTGGCCAAGCTGGGAGGAGAGACAGAAAAAACAGACATGGACTCTTAGAAATAATTTGGCTGCAGCTAGTCTCCACTGCTAGGAAAGACTTCTGCTCCCAGCACTGCTCGGGGTGTCCAAGCCTGCAGAAGCAGGCTATGACATGCAGGCACAGCATCTCCAAGGAACCTGGCTTTGACAAAACAGGTACAAGAGTACCAGGCCCTACAACACTGATTGAAGAGCCAGAACCTCTGAACCTCTCATTAACCCCTGGGCAGGCACTGGCCTTTCAGGTTTCCCTGTCCATTTTGCTGGGGATACCTGACCATTCTCCCCC